CATGCCCAGCTAATTTTTTGTAGTTTTAGTAGAGACGGGATTTCACCGTGTTGACCAGGATGGTCTCGATCTCTTGACCTCATGATCCACCCGCCTCGGCCTCCCAAAGTGCTGCGATTACAGGCTTGAGCCACCGCGCCCGGCTGAACATATTTTTGATGAAACATTTGGTTGAGTTGATATCTTTATGAGGATATGAGGGCCTGGCCTTTGCTAGTCTGTCACATCCACTTTTCATCTCTCATTTCTTCCAGAGACTTTGTTTAAAATCTAGAGATAAGATTTCAAATAATATAGGATCCAGGAAATGAGACACCATTGTTTTTATATAAGGAACGAGATTTACCCTTCGATTTTCATATGGCAAACATTTTAGTCAACACATTATTGTTTTTCTTCACTAATATAACCGATCACATGCATAGTCAGCTGTCTCCATTGGGCTCCACTTCTTTCTTTCTTTTTTTTTTTTTTTTTTTGATGGAGTCTTATCTGACACCCAGGCTGGAGTGCAGTGGCATGATCTTGGCTCACTGAAACCTCTGATTTTCAGGTTCTAGCGATTATCCTGCCTCAACCTCCTGAATAGCTGGGAGGCACATGCTACCAAGCCTGGCTAATGTTTTGTATTTTTGTACTAGAAACGGGGTTTGACCATCCTGGCCAGGCTGGTCTCAAACTCCAGACCTCATGATCTACGTGCCTTGACCACCTGAAGTGCTGGGATTGCAGGCTGGAATAGGCCGCGACTGGCCTGGACCTGTTTTCACAAACACATCTCTACCTACTCAGTCAGGGGATCACTCTTCACCCCCACAATATCCTGCATTGCTGTACTCTGTTTCATGGAGTTCACTCACTTTTTCATGTGTGTATGGAAGTCTGGAATCTACATAGGGATTTTGTTGAGTATAGGCCTGAAACTAGAAATCAGAGGCCATTTAATTTCAGAGATGTAAAACTGCCTTCACCTCATGTCACCATACTGCTGCTTTTTTGACTCTCTTTCATTCTTGTCCCCTGCCTATATTGTAATTTGTATATTTTACCTCGGGTCAACATTTTACTGTTCGCTAAATTAGTTCCACTTCCCTCCAAGCTCAAAATTTGATCTATACTGGTGGGAATATATTCCCACAGATAACCATGCACACAGTTGACTCCTGCATGCCCATTACTTCTGCCCTCCACCCTTGCCCTTCCTTTCCTGGCCTTGCCTCACATGCTACATTGATCCGGATGCAAAATGCTGCTGCTTTCCAGCTGTTGATTTTGTTATGGTGAACACTCCAGCTTCCACATGAGCCCCTCCCCTCCAACATGACTCTCAGTGTGTAAGTCAAGACCTTATACATCCACTGGACGTAATCATAGGAGGCTGCCTAAATCAGTGTGTGCAGGGCATGATGACTCAGCACATTCTCCATGAGCGATGGCTCAGCATCACTGTCCATGGCACAGCTCAGCCCTTGTATCCGCCTTGATGTATTTCTTCCTGTCTCCTTGTATTTTCTGTGACTGATCGTTTTCTGTACTGCCTGGGTGACTGTTGTGCTTAAGAATGTGTCATGGGATCCTTAAGGCCCAGGATCAAGTTTTGTCCCTTATTTACCGAATGTATAAATTGGGTCATGTACATGAATACTGTGGGCCTGCAGTCCTTGTTTGATAAGTAATAGTTTGCCTCCATGTTCTTTATTTTTTTTATTATTATTAATTTTTCTTTTTTGAGATGGAATTTTCCTTTTGTTTCCCAGACTGGAGTGCAGTGGCACAATTTTTGCTCACTGCAATCACCGCCTCCCAGGTTCAATCAATTCTCATGACTGAGGCTTCCAAGTAGCTGGGATTGCAAGCATGCACCACCACTCGTGGCTGATTTTGCATTTTTAGTAGAGATGTGTTTTCTCCATGTTGTCATGCTGGTTTTCAACTCCCGACCTCAGGCAATCCATCCACCTGGGCCTTTCAAAGTATTGGGATTACAGGTATGAGCCACCACGCTTGACTGCCTCCAGGTTTTAAAAACAAGTTAATTAGATGTCTTCACATATTGAAAGTTTTATAGTACAGATTCTAAACTTTCTTTGTTTCATAAGATTTGTCAGCCTTCGATGATGTTGATGATGAGATGCCCATTTCTCTATCTCAGTCATTTCACTGTGATGTCAGAAATAGCTTTGAATGGCTGGCCGCAGTGGCTCATGCCTCTATTCCCAGCACTTTGGAAGGCCGAGATGGTTGGATCGCTTGAGGTCAAGAGTTTGACTCCAGTCGGGCCAACATGCGAAAATCTTGATTCTACTAAATACAAAAAAATTCACTGGGTATGTTGGCTCACACCTGTAATCCCAATGCTTTGGTAGACGAAAATGGGCAGATAACCTCTGATCAGGCATTTGAGACCAGCCTTGGCAACATGGTCAAACCCCATCTCTACTAAAACTACACAAATTAGCTTGGTGTGGTAGCATGCACTTGTAATCCCAACTACTTGGTTGGCTGAGGACAAAGAATTATTGGATCCCAGGAGGTGAAGGTTGCAATGAGCCTAGATCATGCCACTGCACTCCAGCCTGGATAATGGAGTGAAACTCTGATACACACACACACACATGCACATGCATGTGTGCGCACACGCACACATGCACACACTTAGGCTGTAGTCTCAGCTACTTGTGCATACACACACACACACAAACACACTCACTCACTCACTCACTCTCTCTCTTTCTCTCTCAGCCACTCTGTAGTCCCAGCTACTTGGGAGTCTCCAGCAGGAGAATCTCTTTAGGCAGGAGACTCATACCATCACACTCCAGTCTGGGTGATAGAGCATGACTCAGTCTCAAAA